CAGATAATTGTTCAGAAAGTTAGGTTGGAATAGCATGAACAGTAAAAACTAGAAACTAAAATTAAATCTCTTTTTTTCATGCTATGTTTAATTTCGTCATCGCGAAGTTCCCCATTTAAATATTTGAAAAAAATATTTTTTTCTATAACTAGAAATCTTTCCTGTATGACAAGTAAATCTATAATATACAGATAGAAAACAGAGAAGCATTATATTTATAACATTACATACGGTTTGTCGGAAATGATCTTCGAATATGGCATCGTTGAATAAGGCTTTCGTAGTTAATGTGTTCCGGAAATCGTAATAGGCTTTCCCAACCCAATCGTAATTCGTTATGATAAGTAAAATCGATAAGAAAAGAGAAAAATAGAAAATTACAATGAAGTATTATATAACATTACATATAGTTAGTGGTATGAATCGAAAATCGATTAATCTTGATCAACTAATCAATTACTGTAACGGTAATTGATTAATCTTAATCAACTTATCAATTAATCGATTAATTTTAATCAACCAATCAATTAATCAATTAATCGATTAGTTAACAATAATCGATTTGTAATCGATTTTTCAATTTATTCAATAACTAATCGATTACATTTTTTTGCTCTGATTCATACACTAACATACAGTTTGTCGTGGATGTTCATATGATTTGATCATAAAAATGTTTATTGTACGTACGTACGTATGAACTTATAAGATTGTAAATCAGAAGATTTGCAGGTCACATATATTGACCCTAGAATACACTAATAAAAAGACCATACCAGTACGTATAATACGTACCAGTATTATACACAGGTATAGGTTAATACCAATAATAGAAATGGGGTTAGCCAATTAAATTGCTTTATCCACAATTCCGAAAGTTTCCTTTAAAATGATTCAGAAAAAATTCCGATCCATATTAAGCTGAGAGCATAACAATTATGGTGGTTATACGTACCATGTTATATTTACCATATCTGATATTAAACGTTATTATACCTGGTATCGTACGTACTACCATTTTCTATTATACCAGTATAACCGCATCCTACGTATCAGCTATTGATTACCAAAAATTGGGAACACGATCTATTGTAAAATCTATTAGTGCAGATTTGTGCATAGATCGGCAAATTTAAAAATCGATCTGTAATACGTATATCGATATCGAGTTACGTGATTATGTCTTTAGACTATTAACGCATGATACGCTAGAACTACGTAGAATCGATATTTAATAATACATAATGCACTAACGCTAATACATTTATAACAACAATTAATTAATTTATAAATAGAGGCTTGATTTTAAATAAAAATACCCGCTGATGACGATAAGTTCGATTTCGTGCGTAACGTATGTACGTATATACGTTATAAATAATGAATTCATGCAATACAATAGCATTGAAGGTCAGATATACCGAAACTTTTAAATGCATGCGTTTTTAAGAAAAAATTTGAAAAATTTTTGGTTAGTAATAATTAGTAATAATTAGTCACAATAGTCATGATAATCGTGATAATTACAAAGATTTGATTAATACTGATTGCATTAGAATTTTAAATGTTTATGATGACAGGTATCAATTATGAATCATTAAAGAAGTGACGGCTTTTGATGACAAATGATAACAAAATCCAGGTAAAATTTAAAGACCGAAAAACTAAAATCATTATTACAATAATTTAAAGTTTATGCTTTGTGATAATTATGATTGATTAATGATCAAGTGTGATTAAGAGTGATAATCGTTGTTTTAAATAACACCGAAATGGTTCGAAATGATATCATGCTCTTTTAAATTTCTGAATCTTAGTATTGAATGTTTTGTCACACTTATTCACTCTGCTGACTGAATTATAGAGTATAGAATCCTGTCGTTTTTAAAAATCCCCCAATTGCTTCAATTTTTTAATTTTTTATCGCTAAAAATACTTAAACAAATACTTTAAAAAAAAATACTTAAAAAAAATTCTTTAAAAAATTCTTTAAACCTGTCAAATGTCGTTACAAAATATTGATGAATTATCCTCGCAAAATTCCTCGGTGATCAAAAATGATTTCTCCTTGGTAGTGAAAGATCCCGATGACTATTGGATTGCTGACTTCCTTGATCTCTACGGATATCGCATCGAAAAATCTTCAATAGAATCTTCAAATTTCGTTACTCCGAAAATTGTACGCGACATCATTCGAAATAAAGAATTACTCCTTCCCTCCAATTGTCGTTCCTTGGCTGATAGAAATGCTTACATCATTCTTCTTTTAAGATTTGTTCTTCGTGATAACGCCTTCACAGAATTGACTGGTGTACCTCTCGTACCAGTAAATTGCATCTCTTATTCAGCTTTTGGTACTCAACAATATTATTTGGCTCTCCCTTCAGATTTACAATTCTTTCCAACCGTTGGTTGCTTTGTCTTGATTACCGAAGAATTACCTGATGACATTAAATCTATTTTTGAATCTTCTGAATTTCAATCTACAAACAAGATTAAAAAATTGGATCTTGACGGTTTTTATTGTCTTTTTCGTCATGAACTCCCTCGTGCTCCATTTCGTGACTGGGATCCTGATACAACTACAACTTTTTTGAATAGACGTTGGCTTGAAAATCTTTGGGAAAGAATTTCTCAATTTGTTAATCAAGATTTAAAATTACTTGGAAATTATCCTCTCATTCCTATTATTACTACTACTTATAATAATCATCATATTTATGAACTTATCTCTGTAAAAAACGATCTTCCTATATTAAGATTTCCCAAGAGAAAAGATGATGTAATAGATGTCTTGAAAAAACTTGGTATTCTTTTCACTGAAGAATCTCGAATTGATACTATGAAAATATTTATTTGGGATTGGAATCTTTCAATGGTTATTATAGCTATAGATAAATCTCGTTCTATCAATAAAATTAGCATGGATTCTTTATTTCAACATATATGTGATGATGAAAAAGATATGCTTCGGGAATATATTGTCACAAATTTCTGCGAGATATATCGAAAAGGTATTTATCTATTTATTTATTGTTTTATTTATTATTTTATTATTTATTATTTTATTTATTATTTTATTTATTTGTTTATTTATTTAAATTTTTTTTTACTGTTATCGTTATATTAAAAAATTTTATAGACCGATTTATCGACGCAAGTATTAAAGATATCTTACGTCAATTACCTATTTGGCCTACTTATTCCGCTGATGGTAGTTACATCGCGGCTTATTGCGGTTGTCTAGTTCCCCATGGTCTTCCTTATTTCCAAGCTAATTTATCAAGTTCAAAAACTAATTATATTAATTATAAGAATCCTGATGAAAAAATTTTATTGAAAAGATTAGATGTTGTTGAATCAAGTTATATTCACTATCTATTTTGTATTTTCAAGAATCTCGACTGTATTCGACCTGATGATCCTGAATATCTGGAATTTTTAAAGGAATTTTTACGTCTTCCTCCTCAATTACATCCAAATTGGTTATCTGAATATCGTTTCATTCCTAATAGTACAAAAACTGAATTAAGATTTGCTAGAGAACTTTATGATGATAGAGTTCTTCTATTCACTACTGTATTTGCTGGTTCTGATGTATTTATTGCTCCTGAACTTCGTTGTGGTTGGTTATCTAAAGGCCTTATTGGTTTGGGCTTTCATGATAAAGTAGATGATGATACTTTCATTCGATTGGCTTTGGAAATTCAACATTTATATAATTCACCTTCTCCTCCTTCCGATTTATTCGATCGTGCTCGAATGTTAGTTCTTCATTTTTATTATAATGTCGATGATCTTAATTTCACTTGTAATAGATGGGATGTTCTCAAATCAATTAATTTTATCCCATCAAAACCTGTTGATTATCCTTATCTTGAAACTGCAAAATTCAAGATTCCTAAACTTTGTTCTTTTAATTCTCTTCGTTTACCTAAACACATGAAATTATGTTGGACTCAATGTGCTTTTTACGATGATCTTGTAATTCCTCCTGAAAGTGTATTAAATATCCATATTGATCTTGGTGAATTATTCTTTCACGACGTAATGGGTCATTTAATTGCTATTAAAGAAAATATTGTTGATAAGCAATCAGATGAATGGAAAGGACATGGTGCTCCAGAACTTCTTTTTACTATTATTAATGGACTTTACGAATGGTTAGAAGATAATTTACTATTAATGAAACGTATAGGTGAAATTGGTGAACAATGGTTTATTGGAGATTTAAAATCAAGTCTTCAAAAAAATTCTACTATATTTCTTAATGGAAATGATCCTTTCGATTTGAAAAATTGGACTTCTGCAACGAGTTTAGTTCTAAATATAGATATCGATGTAGATTGTTATAAGAAAGCTGCAAGTAAAAATTTAGCTCCATATAGTAATTTATTACAATTATGTGGTGCTTATAATTTTAATCCAGCAACTCCAACAAATTTCGATGTTCCACATACAGCATTAAGACGAGATAATATCGTTAACAAATTGTGTAAATACGTGGATCTTGATGTTACTCGAAATTCTCAAAATTTTAGTCACTCAAATACTGGTTTGGAACGATTTCACGATATTTTTTTCAACATTCGTGGTGAATTAATAGGTACATCTCGTTTCTTTCTGGCTGCAACTTGTCCTCATTTTGAAAGAGCTTTTTGTGCTGGTACATTGGAATCTAAACTTGGTGAACATGTATTTCTTCCTCGCGTTAATGATATACATCCTGACGCGTTTCGTGTTCTTCTTAAATACTTATATGGAAAAGATCTTAGTGACATTATGAATGAAATTAGATATGAACCAGGTCCTGATGAAGATGAAATATCTTTTTATTTCAATCGTTATATTGAATTATTGAAATATGCACAATTATATGAACTTAACGATCTTGCACTATCTGTTCAACACCAAATAATTCAAGATCGTTTGGTCTTACCGCAAAATATTGTTGAAATATGGGAATGGTGTCAAAATACTGAAATTACCGCTCCATATTTGGCTGAATATTGTGAAAAGTGTATAAGAGATAATACCGAATTATTATTTGATCTCCGACTTCACGATATTGAACAAGATATTCCAGATAAGAAACAACGTGCGGCTGCTATTGTTGAATTAGAAGGAAGGTTTTGGAGGTGGCGTGAACTCAATTTGTTAAAAGATATGTCGCCTCCAATATATTATGATGAAGATCCTCCGATAACCTTTGATAATGAATCCGGTTGGGGAAGAGAATGTAGTTCTGCTCTTGAATGGATATGATTTTTTAAACTTGTTGACGTTTTAACATTTTAATCATTTTTATAAGTTTGTTGTAGCATAATATCTTTTTTACTATGCAAATTAGAGAGACATTTAACAAAATTTATCATCACATTAATATTTGCTCTTTTCATCATGTTTCTAAATCCATTTTTCTGTT